CTCAATCCCATCTCAATAGAAAAAATATACAAAAATAAAACTTTCACCATCAAGACCGAATGTTCCTTGCAAAGAACTTTTATTTTCAAACGAAAAAAAATCTTACAAAACTACTTCAAATTGGGAAAAATATTTTTTTTGCTTGTTTAGCAGTATTTTAACTTAAATTATACTGGTCAGTTTTGCAATTAAACTACCGTGAAGAAAAAAAATTAATCGTACATCATCGATCGTCTTCTCGGACGAACCACCTTGTCAAAGAAAAATGATAATTTGACAGTGACATAATCACCTCCGAAAATGTGTCGGCGTTACTGACTACAAAGTTTCAGTTCCTTCTGAGGCACATCCGGGCTTACGAGGTTAAAACAAAGACAAATAAAAAAAAAATACCTGCATTTTGCTACATAAAAAAGTAAAAAAAAAGATGCGTAAGAAGATAAATCACTTGAGTTAAAAAAGTCTCTCACATTCGAAATCAAACACCAAACACCAAATCCTACAACAAATCTACTATTACCTCAAACTTATTAACAGCCAGCAATGCATAAATAATCTCTACCGCCCTTAATAAGCGCCGTAAGCCGCTGTAATACCACAAAGTGGGGGCTAAACCCGGAGTTGCGAGAAAAATGTCGCGCGGCTTGAGGAATAGGGGCTTAGTGTACCTACTAGTTGGCGAGATATACAATCCCAACTAATATTATAAATGCGAAAGTAACTCTGTCTGTCTGTCTGTCTGTCTGTCTGTCTGTTACGCTTTCCCGCTTAAACCTCGCAACCGATTTTGATGAAAATTGGCATAGAGATAGTTTGAGTCCCGGGAAAGAACATAGGATAGTTTTTATCCCGGTTTTTGAAACAGGGACGCGCGCGATAAAGTTTTTCTGTGACAGACAAAATTCCACGCGGGCGAAGCCGCGGGCGGAAAGCTAGTTATTTATAAGTCAGTAAATAATAACGCTATGCTAGTACTACTTCGTCGTATAGATAGTTACAATATAATTGATGAGGGTTATAGAAGTACGGGATAAACTGAACTTATTCGCTCGTTTCAGCCGAAATTGTTAGCATTGAAAAATCTAATAAATTATGTCATGAATGTGATTTACGAAAGAAACAAACCATGCAGCAAACTAGGCACCTAATTACACTGCTAATTTTGAAAAAGAAGGTAAGTAGTCACATTTAAGACTCTAATGCCCGTTTTCACCATCGATCCCTTAAGCGTTTGCTAACTAAATATCACTTTGGTTAAACGATCGCCTAAACTGCCCACTAACCTAAGTTCGTTTTCACCATGCTATAGTAAACCTAAGTAGGGACTCTTTTGTCAGGTGGCGTTTCTTCGTGCGCCTAGTGACGTTTGAAAAACCGGTAAGTACTTTCCGATAAAATATTTTATTGGGAATATCTTACGTATTTCACAGAAACAAATGAAATAAAAGTAAAACTAAGAAATAGTTGACCAAAACTGATGTCTTTTTGTATTTTTGAGTTATTATTAAAGACAAAAAAGATATTTGGGCTATTATGTAATCTGTGGTTTGGGTGCATAATGTAATTATTCCTTTGCCTTAAAAAAAGTAAATGTCAAGATGACTGCTGCACCACACTAAATGAAAATAAAAATGTACATATTGATTTTGATAGATATTTTGTTGAGTTCTGTGTGTAGTTGCGATTTAACGATAAAAACGACANAAGTGGCCGAATATATTACAATATTGGTGGGAAGTGGGGATGCATACGTTTGAAAATGCTTCTCGTGGGAGGTGCGATTTATTTGATGTCGAGTGTATTACCTCAAACTTATTAACAGCCAGCAATGCATAAATAATCTCTACCGCCCTTAATAAGCGCCGTAAGCTGCTGTAATACCACAAAGCGGGGGCTAATCCCGGAGACGCGAGAAAAATGTCGCGCGGTTTGAGGAATAGGGGCTTAGTGTACCTACTAGTTGGCGAGATATACAATTATTTATAAGTCAGTAAATAATAACGCTATGCTAGTACTACTTCGTCGTATAGATAGTTACAATATAATTGATGAGGGTTATAGAAGTACGGGATAAACTGAACTTATTCGCTCGTTTCAGCCGAAATTGTTAGCATTGAAAAATCTAATAAATTATGTCATGAATGTGATTTACGAAAGAAACAAACCATGCAGCAAACTAGGCACCTAATTACACTGCTAATTTTGAAAAAGAAGGTAAGTAGTCACATTTAAGACTCCTTTAATAACAACGTAGGTGATCCGTCTGCTCGTTTGCCACCTGTCACATAAAAAAAAACCTTGTACTTTGATAATAATTTATAATTATTTAAAATAATTATCTTAAAACTATCTTTATGAAAACCACGAATAATAATTAGAACCATTTCATTCGAGCAGCTTAACAACCGCGCTACTTATCTATTTAACATTGTAAATCCTCGCTAATCCACAAAGGGACTAAAATATCCCACACTTCTGGTGTCGAACAGACCCTCAACCAATCGATAGTACTAAAGCAGACGATATTAATTTTGCCACTATCTTGACACATGTAATATTACATCATCTATCTATATTGGTTCGTTTGTAGACTTTATTTCAAAGGCAATAAAGAACGGGGGATGAAAGTTGAAAGGAAAAAGCGGAATGCTTTGATGTCACAATAACAGCAGGATGTCGGTAGACAGTTTAATTAAAAATGGGATAAAAATAGGTTCAATACTTAAGTTATAATTCTAATGGGATAAAAATCATTGTTCAATAAATTGTAATTTTTAAGGTAATTATTTTGCAAAAATAAAGTAACTGGTAAATTAGATACGGTATTATGTTCGCCTTTTGTACTGTAGAAGATATACGAAAAATCATAAATATATAAAAATGTGATTAAAAATATAGGTATAATTATAAGGCTAAAAATTATATAGTGCCAGCTGCTGCCCAACGATGCCAGTAAGGAAGATCGCTGGCTCGAACCCCGTCGACCACTGCACTAATTGTGGTGAATCTAATCCGAACACAAGTATAACATACCAATATTTAGCACTACACTACTTGGAGGGGTTAACAAGGATATTAGTCATCGCCTAAAAAAAATTCTCCTAAAGAAATCTTTTACTAAAGCTGCAAATTGTAAAAATGCATACTCGGGAAAGTACTCGTCAAAAGCTATTTTTCTTGGAAACAATTGAACCAAATGCATTTTAGTGTTACCATACTCAATTACATTAATCAAGCTTCCATGAAAACCGTTAAATCACTTTTCGATCAAATACCCTTCAATTGGATCATCAAATCCACATTCTGGATTCCTACCACTTTAATATAGCTTAAAAATAACCGTAGACCTTATGTTTAACCAATTAAGGTTCAAAGATTTAACCGTTAGTGTTTTGTATAAGTACTTAATAAGTTTGTTAAGTGAAAGCACCAAATTAGTAATGGACAGCTCTAAATGACAATCCAGCCATTATAAAGTAACGTTTGACGCCGAAAGTGTTAACTAATCACAGTTTAATAGGAACAAGTGACAGTTGTCACTTTGTAAAGTGGTAGTTGCGTGATGAACAGGGATTTTGGANTTTTTGAACAACGAAATTATTGGGTTCGATTTCATGGCTGTGATTTGATTCTTAGAATAAAGCATATTTAATTTTTATAACACCAAACAGATTATTACTTGTTTTATGTTCACCGTCTACAAAAACTGATAATACACTAGATTAGTGCCAACCGCCACCCCGAAGGTATACTTGAAGGGGGCATATGAAACAAAATAAGTGCCATCGACCACTGAGGTGGCAAACGCTACCTATTTAGTGCCAACCACCATCCCGTTAGCAATGTTCAAAGGGGGCAGATGGGAATACAAAAGCCACCTATTTAATGCCGCAGATGGGAATATAAAACGCCACGTATGTAGTGCCAACCACCACCCCGGTGGTAAAGTTCGAAATGGGCAGATGGGAATACAAACGCTACCTATCTATTTAGTGCCAACCAACACCCTGATGGCAAAGTTTGAAAGGGGCATATGCGAAATACAAACGCCACATATTTAGTTCCAACCACCACACCGGTGGTAAGTTATAAGGGGGCAGATGGGAATATAAACGCCACCTATTTAGTTCCAACCACCACCCCGGTGGTAAGTTATAAGGGGGCAGATGGGAATATAAACGTGACCTATTAAGTGCCAACCACCACCCCGGGTGGCAAGCTTGATGGGAATAAAAGTTAATAACGCGGGTGAAACCGCGGTCAAAAGCTAGTTACCTACATAAATTCGGTGAAAAATTAAACATTCACTGACCTGGAACGTTTTTCTCAAGGTCCATTTTATTGCTGGTTAACACACCCTTGACACAAACTAGATAGTTCACAACCTCACACACAATAAAATGTAGTAAAGTCAATTTTGAAAATAAAGTCCAAATCCTACGGTTTTATAAAGTACGAGACACGACTTTTATGCGTAACACGCACTGAGAAACTGTCCGAAGCTAGAATGCACCGTTAGAATTTGAAAAGTAAAACCGAACTACCCTCTTTTAATTTTTATCGTGCGATTGCCAGTCGCCGATTAGAGGCAGTATGGCGCAGGTACACTATGCAACAAGTTTATTGAGACATAGTGTAAGCACTCCCTTCAGTTAATTTCGCCGTGTGTCGCCTGTACTTCGGCGTGCGTGCTCGCGTTTCTGTTTCATTAATTTCTCGTATAGTGTATAAGACTAATACCAAATTATAAAAATATAATCATTATTGATGGTGTTAGTATACGGAATATTGTTAGCACTACTGATTTCAGCAGTTGAACTAAATACTTTTTTTTAGCATAGTATTATTAAAAAGTAATAATGTATGAAGGTAATTTGGTCGTCAAGCTGTAGGATCTAGCTGTACAGGGAGAAAGATAAACTGTTTAATTAACAACAAAAAGTCAAATTCTGATTAAAACACCAAATATTTATTTAAAACCAAAAATATACACACTGCATCACCGTACTGTGATCGCGTTAAAACTATTCACATTGAGTCTGACTGCTTTTGATCATGTGTTTCTATCAATCCTCCAGATTAGCGGCATCTTCTTCCATGACGTCCCAGAGGTACCTATTGCGGAACTCCACTCGGGTGTTCTCTGAAGCTTTCTCGCCATTCGCGTTGACTGGATCCTGACTGTCAGAGGATTCCAGCTCGTCATCTAGGAGAGAAGTTACTGAGAGGAGAGTGGAGTCGGTGATGTTGATTGTGTCACCTGCGTCCCCTCGTTCAGGCTGGCTCCGAGTGGTTCCTAGAGTCTGAAAAGATAATATAAAAGATAGTATAGATCGCAGTTTTTTGTTTGGTTTCGCAAGCAGACGCTGCTGCCCGTCCGGTACTGCAGGAATTAGTCGCCTCTTACGACACGCCTCCTGTTGGCGGTGGGGAAGAGTATTCTTTACGGCCGTCCCCACACGGCGCAGTTTTATTTTCATAGGTTTCAAAATTAATTCATAATGAATTCACCAAATTAAGTAGTTTTCCTTTGACTAAAATATTGCTGATCTCACAACCTTAATTCTNTAAATTTTTATCTTGTCCATAATTTAAATGTTACTTCACTAAGATCTGGTGAACTACGAGTACCTATGTTCTACCACTTGTACCTACATAACGTAGGTTTAGTCAGTAATCACTCGCAATTAGACCGGCAATTTCACAGTGAGAAGGCGAAAGAAAGAAAGAAAGAAAGAAAAATATTTATTCGATGCAAGTAGGTACACAGCAAGATAATTTAACTAAAACTAGACAACAGAACGTCTACAAGCACCAAAATGGCATCAGCTCAGTATACGCCGTGACGGCGAGGCAAATTGCTAGTCAGAAAGCGCTAAATATTTTAAGGATGTACCAAGCAGATCTTACATCTATGATAGCCATATGGAGTATAGGCACCTCCAGTTTGAGGGGCTTGATCTCCTGCGGCTCGTCATCCAGGTAGGAGTACTCGGTGGGCACCTGCCAATTTATCTAAAAGTTTAATTGACACCGTCAATATGGAACATAATGCTTTGATTAAAATGCTCATTAGAGAAGATGAAGAAAATGACTGGTATTGTTGGTAGATATCAAACGATAGTGTCTTCAAAGTTTATGTACATATGAAGATTTTTTACAGTCAACAACAAATCACAAATTCATTTTTACAACTACACAAGATTCCATAATGGTAATCCTGATGTACTGCTTTCAGAACAGATAAGAAAGGTTACTCTTACTCAGAGGATGACAGAAAAATGGTAGTGTAGGCAGGCCCCCCACTAAGTGGACCGACGATCTGGTGAAGGTCGCGGGAAGTACCTGGACGCGGGCAGCGCAGGACCAGTCGTTGTGGAAGTTGGCTTTATTTATCAAGCAGTGAACGTCATTTGGTTAAAAAGAACGAACGAACAATACTTGGGAACGTGGGACGTAAGTACCTACCTAAAGCCTGGTCCGTGAGCACGTGGAATCCCGTCCAATGACCCCAAGCTGCCCATTCTTGTCGCTCGCACGTAATTACGTTGCTGTCGAGTTCGCACACTCACTGCGGGCGCGCGTCGCACAGTCGCGACAGCAATATAATTACGCGCGAGCGATAAGGATGGGTAGCTTGGGGTCATTGGACGGGATTCTACGTGCTCACGGACCAGGCTTTAGATGCAGGCATCACAGGACCGATTGTTGTGGAAATCCTTGTGGGGTTTTTGCCCAGAAGTTGACGTCAATATGGCTGAAAAGAACAAACTAATGATACCTTGGCTTACTCACTCGTCTAAGCCGCCATTTCTCCAGGAACTCGTTGGTCTGCCGCAGCGCATCGCGGCTCTCCTGCAGCAGTTCATCCATTCGATCCTTGCCGCGGATGTGCTTGTATTTCTTTAGGATCTAGAACATTATCATCATTACAGAAACAGGACGTCTACAGCTGAACATAGGCCTCCCTCAATAATTTCATTAAAAGAATTTAAACGTCAGTGATTTTTTTTTTGTAAATGATGTCTACTTTTCCATTGGTTAGCGATTTGGAAATTCTTGACTCGAGGTTCTGAATTCAGTTCCCCATTGGGTTCTTTTGCAGAATTTTTAAGCACGTCTAGTTTCAGAAAGCGTTTTATGCGTATAACATTTCGTCACTTTTTTTTTCATCTTACCATTATACTTTGATTTTTCATAACATTAATTAAGACGAATTTCTAATCGATCACAATTTTAAAATTGTCTTTCATATTAGATTCTAAAAATTTAATCTTTGACAGACATAGTCCCAAACGCAAGCGTCTCTATTGTACACTCCATAGGCAATCTTACAAATTGTACACACGACAGCACATCAGGTTACCCATTTTTGTTGCAAACTCGCCCCTATTACAACTGCACAAGAACCCACAGTGGTTACGTTGACGTGCCGTCGTCCGTACAAAATATAGGAATATAAAAAAGTAACTTACTGCAATAGTAAGTGACAACGCCAAAATTTCGGCAAACAGAACGGGCACACTGATGGGATTCTCGGTGGTGAGCTGCGCCACCTTCGCCTCCTCCCTGATCGACCGCTTGATGAAGCATGCTACCTTGCAGAAGGCCTAAGAGAGTGAAACAATTTAGAAATGCCAACAAAAAATTTGATGGTTAAAATAGCCCAATAAATGGCAATGCCAGATTTTGTATGGAAAGTGGCGTCTTTTTATTTTCGCGCGGCCAACGACCAAACTTTGTTTTTTGCTTACAAAATAGTGTAATAAACTAATCTTACTATGGCATGAATACCTCTAAACTCAGTCTGAACTGAGTTACGAGCATTAGAAGTTTGATGATTTCATACTAGATTTGCTTTTTGTGCGCAAGTTTTGTAAGAAATTGCAACAAAATATTGCGCTATTTTTTATTGCACTGATTCTGCTCCATACTGATGTCTGGAGCCTTTAATGGATGATATTGTTTGTTTGCACATACAATCTCACTATTTTGTTGCAATTTCTTACAAAACTTTGCGCGCAAAAAACAAATCTAGTATGTAAATCATCAAACTTCTAATGCTCGTAACTCAGTTCAGACTGAGTTTAGAGGTATACATGTCATAGTAAGTTTGGTTTATTACACTATTTTGTATAAAAACAAAGTTTGGCCGATGGCCGCGCGAAAAAAAAAGACGCCAATTTCCGGAATTGTCTTTTGCGACAATAGCCCACAATGATTACGGTGTCCAACTGGCCGAGTTCCAAGGAATGCGGGTTTGAACCCCACCGCCACTGGAATAATCTGGTGAAACCACTGGTAACACAAGCATATTTAACTTACCACAAAGAGTTAATGAGATTATTTATTTTGACAAAAGTAGAGGCAGAAGACTCAAACCTTAATGCTTTTACTCAAATTCGCGATGGTCAAATACAAAACAAAACTACAAGAATATAAACTGTTGTCTTCACCTTCTGTGACACATCGACAAAGCCATTCCCCAAGATATAGTCAATGAAGAACAGGCTCAAGAATATGGCTCCATACACGAGCGTGTCGTAGACCTGGGCCAGCATTTTGATCAGGGTTGGGCCTTCAAATCCAGGTTTCGGTCAATTCCTACATGGCTCTCAGGATAAACGGGTAATTTTTCTAGATCACAAATCTGCGGATTGTGGATTCAAGAAAGTCAAAATGACACGAAACTTTGGCAATCGTATTTTTTAATGAGGTCATAGTTTGTTTCGGTGAAGGTTGTAATGACGCAGATGGATGTAAAATATTATCAAATAAATTGTGATTAAAACGAAAAAATATTTAATAGATAGTACAATTGTTCATAATTCCAACTGATATTTAAAAAATATTATCTTCTTTGCGCTTTGTTAGAAAAGATAAGGTTGATAAATTGTTACGGAACCTAAGGTAACCATAACAACGCATGGAGTGTTTATTTACCATAACAACAAGTCAAAACTTATTTTGACAACAACGTGCCACTTGTAAAAACATTTTATTTTGTAAAGCTAAAACAAATCGTTTAAACTCCCTAAAAATATTATAAAATTGTAAATATTTGAAGACTTACACATAAACTATCACAATGGTAAGTGTTTGGATCACTGTTTGTCTCATTGTCTACGTTTCTTGTGATCTTTTAATTACCCTACTTATCTGTTTATTTTAGCCACCAAAAGGAGGGAAAGGAGGTGGAAAAAAGGCTCCAGGTATTTATAATTTCTTTCATGAAAATGTTCTAAAAACTCGTAACGATCACGATGATAACAAACTCGATAAGTGGGCATTATAATTAACTAGCTGGCCCGGCGAACTTTGTTCCGCCTTAATGGCAATAAATAAGCAGACTTTTTTTTTTATTTCGAACGGGATAAAAAGTATGTCCTTCTCCTGGCTCTAAACTACCTCCCTGACAATTTTCAGCTAAATCGGTTCAGCCGTTCTTGAGTTATAAGCGAAGTAACTAACACGACTTTCTTTTATATATATAGATACATTTCTTATCAGGCTTAGATTGCAGGTATTCTAATGTTTATTTATTTTTTAGCAATCATCATCGATGGAGTAGACACCTCTGAAATGACTCGAGAAAAGCTCGAGCAGTTCACACTCAGAGTCAAAGAAGAACTTGACAAAGAAAGAGAGGAGCGCAACTACTTTCAGCTAGAAAGAGACAAAATAAGAACCTTCTGGGAAATTACTCGACAGCAGTTGGAAGAAGCCAAAGCCGAACTAAGAAACAGAGAAAGGGCGACCGAAGAAGCTCAAGAGGAGAATGAAGCGCTTTTGGAGACTGAAAAGCAAAAGATAAAGCATTTGAAGTATGAGCAGCAAGCGGCTGCAGCAGCTTTAAGAGCTGAGAATCTTGTAGCACTAAAAGCTGCTAAAGAGGAGCATGCTGAACAAGAGTTAGAGCTGCTAAATGACAAAAGAGTTCTGAGGCAAGAGATGAGAGAGAAGGTATTGGCTGCACAGGACGAGTTAAGGCGAGCTAAATTGATTCATGCCGAAGAATTGTCGAAAGCTAGAGAGGTTTTTGAAGAAAGGGCACGTCAGATAGAAGACAAAGCAGAGAAGAAATTACATGAAACAAAAGTAGAGTTGACGGTGAAGCACAGAACAGAAATTTCAGAAGTAGAAGAAAGAAAGAATAAACAGCTTTCAGATCTGATTGCACATCATGAAAGGGCGTTTTCTGATTTGAAAAACTATTACAACGATATCACGTTGAATAATCTAGGTAAGTGCGTTTACTATCTATTGATTTACATTCAATAATCTTTATGTCCTGTTGTGTTCCGTAAAGTTCGTATTATAAATAGATACCTACTAAGATAAAGTTCATAGTTAATTATCGTGATTAAAAACTCAATTTTCTAGGTCTTATCAGCAGTCTAAAGATACAAATGGAAGACATGCAGAAGGTTAAAGAACGAGCAGAGAAGATCGCTCGAGATGCGGTCGCTGAGACCAAGAGTTTGAGGGAGCCGCTAGAAGCTGCTATCATTGATAATAAGGAGTTGAAGAGGCAGATGTCAAATTATGATAGGGACAAGGCTGCACTAGCTGTAAGTATGCATTACGGACTATCTTACTAATAAGTACCCATAGAAATATGAAACTAAGCCTAGGCGCAGACCACCGATTAGTTGCCCGATAGTTGGGTCGGGCTGTCAATAGAGATTTATAAAAGTGCGCACATCACACCGATTTGATATCGGCCGACTAAAAGTCTGTAGTTGCGGTGAGTGTAAAAACCTAAACAATGGAGGTCTTGGTGTTAAAAATAAAATGACGTGGTTCGAGATCATTGCAAACTTGAATCAGTTAGATTTTTATGTCTTTGAAACGAGCACATTCTAAGCCGCTTCAATGATTGCGTATTGTACGGCGCTTTACGCATCTTCTCTAAGTAACCAATGAATTATAACTGTTTTGATTCCATTTTCTTCATTCTCTTTCTACTTTAGGCCAAAACGAAGCAGTTGGCTTCTCTGGAGAAGCAGTTTGAAGTCCTGAAGTGGGAGTATGAGGTGTTGCAGGTTCGATTTGACAGAGTTTTGGCTGAGAGGGATGAGCTGAAGACCAGGTTCTCAAGGTCTGTATCTTATCTATACTAATATTACTATAAATGCGAAAGTAACTGTCTGTCTCGCTTTCACGCCTAAACCACTGAACCGATTTTGATGAAATTTGGCAATAAGATAGTTTGAGTCCCGAGAAAGGACATAGGATAGTTTTTTTTTTTATCCCGGGTTTTGAAAAAGGGACGCGCGGAATAAAGTTTTTCTGTGACAGACAAAATTTCACGCGAACGAAGCCGCGGGCGGAAAGCTAATCTTTCAATATGCATAAGATTTATATTGTGAAACTTTCATGTTTCAAGTCATTTCTAAAATGTTNGATACAAATTAGAATTGGGCACAACTATCGGCGTAGTTGCGAGGGTGTAAAAACATAAAAAACATGGAGGTCTTGGTGTTAAAAATAAAATAACATGGTTCGAGATCAATTCAAACTTGAATCAGTTAGATTTTTTTATTTGAAAGAGCACATTCTGAGCCGCTTCAATGATTAGGTATTGTACGGCACTTTACGCATCTTCTCTAAGTAACCAATGTTTTGATTCCATTTTCTTAATTCTCTTTCTACTTTAGGCCAAAACGAAGCAGTTGGCTTCTTTGGAGAAGCAGTTTGAAGTCCTGAAGTGGGAGTATGAGGTGTTGCAGGTTCGATTTGACAGAGTCTTGGCTGAGAGGGATGAACTGAAGACCAGGTTCTCAAGGTCTGTATAGTTTCAATATTCATAATTTGGTAACTGTGATTGTGACATAACTTTAACTTTTTGACAATAAGTTTGTCAAAGTTAAAGTACAATGGTGCAACCCAGCCTAAATGAATTATAGTGAAGGGTGTTAAAAAATTTTTCTTAAATTTTATAAGAAATAAGATTTACTCGTGAAATTTCATGCCTCAAGTTCTTTTTGATGTTGTTTTAGAGCTGTGCTAGAAGTTCAACAAAAGGCTTCATTGAAGACAGCGCTGCTTGAAGCGAAGCTGAAAAACATGGAAGCTAGAGACCTTGGACCAAGAGAAATGCATGTAAGTGTTTACATAAGAAGACAAAGAAAAGTCGACGAAATAAATTATAAGGTTTTTACTTAATAATTTTTTCCTTCTGTGTAGGAGTTGCTCAAACTAAAAGATACGCAAGTTGAAGACCTTAGATACGAAGCTGCCAGACTTAGAAAAGCCACGATGATCTGCTAGCAACTTATGAAGCGAAACTTGCCAAACTTGGTGTCCCAGCTGAAGAACTTGGCTTCAAGTAAGTTTTCCGTAGTTATGTCTAAAAACCGCCATCTACACCACAATACTGGAACTAATGAGAAGAAGGGAACTTGTAAAGCGACACCTATGAGTTTATTTTTGCACTTCATAACGCTATCACCTTTGTACTTGGAAATACGAACCGTAACTATAAAGTTCCGTATAGTTGCAACAGAGGGCGCTATTTAGAAAAATGGTTTTGCGCCATCTAGCGATTGACTTTCTAACTTTAAACTATGCAGCTTGCTTGCTTTTGTACATCGTTACTTGTTTGTTGGTAGATGTCTCTTCAAGCGTTTTCAGGAAGACCATTTCAGACAAGTCTTAAAATTGAAATACAATGTATTTTTGTTTTATTTTCTTTACAGACCTCTAAGAGCTGTAGCAGTGGCAGGACTGGCACCAGTGGTCGGCCAAGGGCCTGCTGGGTTGGTCACTAAAGATCAGTGAGGATTACCTAACTGTTGAAATGTAATATTATTTTTATCCTGTAATCAATGTGCAATCAAAATATACTATATTTTTTCTTTACTTACAGCATTTTTTCTTTTTGATGTTTGTTTTCACAGCCAGTTTTCTTAATTTATCTAAATTTCATTCGTCAGACTCAAGCAGTAGACATAAAATTTAACAACCTTTATTTAATTTTAATTTTAGCTTCAACTCGGAAAATAAATTAGAAACACCAAATATGGCTAAACGTCACGATCTAAATTTTAGCAAGAGCTTAACCCATTTAGACCGATAATTATTTTTGTAAATAAAAATTGATTTTTCAGCAAAAACTTACAAAGGGGAGCCTAAAAATCATGAAAAAAATATTTTAAAAAATATTCCATAAATAGGGGGCCGTGGGGAGCCCGTACCATATAGGGTACAGTAGGTCTATAAGCAAGCAAAACATAGTCGTTGTTCAAAGAAGGTTTTTATTTATTTTTGTATGATATAAAATAAAAATAAAATCACATAATCACTAGTATTACACATGGCATATNATTTTTTTTTGTTTTCTGTCGAGGAATTTTTAAAATATTTCCAAAACCACTTGTTAAAACATATTTTTAAATATTTTTATGTAAAATAATCACTTTAAGCTTACTGTCACAATCATTTTTACAAATTAACAACAGTTTGGTTCTTCGAAATATTTTCATAAAGGTACCGTACCACATAGGGTACGGTAGGGCTAAATGGGTTAAAAGCTAAGCTGAGCTTTTACCTACCAGCTTCCAGCTGAAGTAACCAGTTAATGTTAACTTCCCACTCATAATTTTATTGAACACTAGCGGCCGCCCGCGATTTCGTACGCGTGGATCCTGTTTTACTCCCTTTTCCCGAATTTTCTTTGCTATAAACCTCACGGAGCCCGAGACCTTTCCAACGAATGCAAAACCGTGGAAATCGGTTCGTGCGTTCTGGAGTTATAGCGTCAGGGAGGAAAACCCGACTTATTTTTATATAGTAGATGTACGGACAACAGAACAAAAGTAAGTTTTTTGGGAGGTATGAAAGGGTACCTAATTTGGAATAGCGTGATGGACAGTCGCGGTCAGAAAATGTTTACCACCTTTTACGTCACAAGTTCTAAAAGTCCATTTCATAATTTGATTGATCATAGACTATTTATTTGTAATTAGCTTTCGGCCCGCGGCTTCGCCCGCACGGAATTTTGTCTGTCACAGAAAAACAATATTGCGCGCGTATTTGCTCACCGCTTAGACCTACCCTGGATTACGACAAACATTTTAAAACCAAAATCAGCTCAATCGGCCCAGCCGTTCTCGAGTTTTAATCAGACTAACGAACATCAATTCATTTTAATTTATATAGATAGATAGATGATAATAAATGACAATCAATCGCTCTAGGAGATGGACTGACTACTAAAACCTCTAGAATAACTCCACCAATTTCTAAAATAATTTTAGTTGCTCATATAATTTGTATTTTTCCCCCAATCAATCATCATCAAAGGTCAAACAAAAATAGCCAAATGTAAATGCCATTAAATGATCGAGTCCAGCCAGTCACGTGGTATCATCGATCTATCTTTATTTTGAACAAGGCGGAACATGAATAAGTTAGGTCTCACACAGGTATGGCGAACCTTTATGTAGCAACGTGCCACTTTTCGAAAAACAATTTTGATGTAGTCGTAGACGTGCCACTATGCTGTGCTATGTGCTAGCANAGACGTGCCACTTAAGGCTATGTTCAGATGTACCGCACGTTAACGCAGGTCAACGCGGAATTAAATTTATAAAGAGTTCACATGGCAAGCGCTAACGCGCGTTGCGAGGAGCTTGTCAGTCTGTTTCGATAGAGCCTAGAAAATGGACGTGGAAGAAGCTATTGCGATGGAAGCGCGCGCTCATCTGAACAGTCAACGGATGTTACATAGCTGTCAAAGCGCGATCGCCTGCGTCTATAGACTTTTTCTCTGAGCGCCGCGTCAACGTAACGTAACGTTAACGTATGCTCATGTGATCGGTTGTCTGTAAATACTACGATGTCTAGTCGCGCGATTTGGAAACGCGCGTGAATATTTTGCCATCTGAACATAGCCTAATGCTAGCAATGAGGGGGCATCGTACAAGTGGCGCCACTGGCGAGTGACAGTGCCTTGCTCTACAGTGGCGCCAATTGATGAGGACAAAAATACGATAGCCCTCATTCAAAACTATTTTAATTCATCGTGAATTTTGGGTGATTGGTGGCGTGCTCTAAATATTGCGGCGCGTGCCATTGGTTCGCCATCCCTGGTCTAACATGTCGTTTCAATGGGCGTGTGATTGGAGGTTTAACTGGCAAGTGGCAACTTAATAGAGGCGTCGTTTGTAGTTGAAGGAAACGATAATTTCATGTTTTGAACGAAATAATGTCGACCGTGAACTGTAGATTGTGGCTATCTTGCTATACTTGAGTGATTCCTGGACACTATAGTTAGCACAGATCACAGAAACTAAAGGGAGATGTGCCAAGGGGGCGGGGGCCGGTGTCACAGCAATATGCCCAAAAACAGAACACATTGCTCGTGACAGCAATGATGACAGCAGCGACGTCATAATGCAATCATTGCTTGCGTAACTAAAGATCATTCGAACGTTGAGTACTGATACCGCAGTGGTTAATGATCACATATTTGATTACTTTGTGTGTGTGAATTTCTAATGCGACACTCAAATGAAATCAAAAATATTTTATTAAATTTAGACCACAAGTGACACATGAATGTGAGTGAGTTTCGAACTCAGCGCAATAGTTGGCATCTCTATACCTCTATGGTTCTTAGCATCTGTGGATTTTACTTATCTCTAATTTCCAGTGAAAAGCGATTCAGTAGATTCCTATCAGTAACTGATAATACAATATTCCTAAAGTCGCTATTTGCGAATCCTACATTTTCGTAATAATTGTTATACTATGCTCTACATGAGTCACATTGTAAAACTACCTACGATTATGACTGCTTTTCAGTGGACTGTTTTTCAGCAAGTAAATAATTGAGTTCTTCCTATTGAATATTAAATCTTGGCAAGCCTCAGCTAGAAAATATACCTATGCAATTAATAGCTAACAGGTTGCGAAGTAGGCCAGTAGAATTAAACACAAAAATTGATTAAATCGGAAATAATTCCTACAAAAGATTTTTTTGCTTTAATGGCTTCATTGGTTGCCCATTAAGATTCTCCTAAGTTTTCGACTTCGACGAAGTTGTGCTTAAGTGGTGGGGGCCCCCGAAAGGGGCGTTTTTTCGGTTTTCCGGTTATACCGCGTCAAGGACTTACCCTATCGAAAAGTGGTCTTCATGACGGTTAAAGGGCACTTAATCCTGCATTGAATAAGACCAAATTCATATGTTTTGGACAAACCGTTCTACAAGAAAGAGGGGCAGCCACAGTAGGTAACACAGAGTCGTTCAGGAGAGTGCCAGGAAGAGGTGCAGCAACCGCAGTTAAGGAACGGCTGGGACGAACAAGGATAAGCGGATCAAACTCGTGAGCCTTGTTAGGGTTACACTGNGCCACTATGCTGTGCTATGTGCTAGCAATGAGTATCATCGTACAAGTGACGCCACTGGCGAGTGACAGTACCTTGCTCTACAGTGGCGCCAATTGATGAGGGCAAATACGATAGCCCTCATTAAAAACTACTTAATTACTTAATTTCATCGTGAATTTTGGGGTGATTGGTGGCGTGCTCTAAATATTGTGGCGCGTGCCATTGATGCCATTGGTTCGCCATCCCTGGTCTAACATGTCGTTTCAATGGGCGTGTGATTGGAGGTTTGACTGGCAACTGGCAACTTAATAGAGGCGTCGTTTGTAGTTGGAGGATACGATAATTTCATGTTTTGAACGAAATAATGTCGACCGTGAACTGTAGATTGTAGCTTATACTTAAGTGATTCCTGGACACTATTTTTAGCACCAGATCACAGAAACTAAAGGGAGATGTGCCAAGGGTGCGAGGCCGATGCCGGTGTCGCAGCAATATGCCCAAAAACAGAACACATTGCTCGTGACAGCAATGATGACAGCAGCGACGTCATAATGCAACCATTTCTTGCGTAACTAAAGATACCGATACCGCAGTGGGCACATATTATTATTTTGATTACTTTGTGTGTGTGAATTTCTAATGCGACACTCAAATGAAATCAAAAATATTTTATTAAATTTAGACCACAAGTGGCACTTTTGAATGTGAGTAAGTTTCGAACTCAGCGCATTAGTTGGCATCTCTATACCTCTATGGTTTTTAGCTTCTGTGGATTTTACTTATCTCTAATTTCCAGTGAAAAGCGATTCAGTAGATTCTTACCAGTAACTTTGATAATACAAAATGGCTAAAGTCGCTATTTGCGAATCCTGCATTTTCATAATAATTGTTACTATGCTCTACATGAGTCACATTGCAAAACTACCTACGATTATGACTGCTTTTCAGTGGACTGTTTTTCAGCAAGTAAATAATTGAGTTCTTCCTATTGAATATTAAATCTTGGCAAGCCTCAGCTAGAAAATATACCTATGCAATTAATATCTAACAATATACAGGTTGCGAAGAAGTTTATTAATTATTTTAAAATGAGGTCTACAAGACAAGTTTCATTGCAGGTTTCGAGTAGGTATGGTTGGAAATGTACAAAATGTATAAAAATATCTGATCAACAAATTACATAAAGTAGGTCAGTTTATTCATTTATTTAATAAGACAACCTACAGTAGTAGTTTTATTGCTTTTATTTATACTTGATACATAATTAAATAATTTAAAAATGCTGTGCAGACTTCTGCAAGACTGAAAATCGAGTCACCTCTCAAACAAATAACAAGGTGGAAATGGACACATCCTTTTGGGAACTTTGCCACGACTGGGACGCTGTTTATGGGGGTTAAACATTAAAAATAATGGGTAATTAAAATAATAAATAAATCAAACATCATCGAAGCCAATAAGTGTATTTAATTTTTACTTCCTACTAACATTTTTATTTACTTTATGTACAAAATCGGTCATAAGGCAACAGTTCCAAATGATAGAACGCTTCGGTACGCACGAGTGCAGGGCCAAGACTTAAAAACTTTACGCTTTAGCAAGAGAAATAGCTCCACACTTTGCTGAGCTGGTTATACACGAGCGTCTTTTATATAAAAAAACTTTTAGCTAAAAAAATCTGTATGTGGCCAGCCCTATTTGCGTCCAAACGATGGAACGAACTTTTTGAAAAAAGAGTGGAAAAAATTACACCAACACTAACAAAATCGAAAAACGTCTATGAATGCCTGCCCCCTTAGACAAAACGCACTTTTTGATCGAATCGAAAATCGAATCTGTCAAAACTCCATGCAAAAAAGGGGCTTTTCGACCACTTTTCGACTGGTTTGCGATTATAATTTGCACTTTGTCTAGACCCACTGGTGGTGGTGTGACTTTCGTAACCTCTAAGAACCTTCCACTTTTTTCTAAGATGATGCATCGTTTGGGCGCCAATGGGGACATTAAGAAACTACCATTTTTTCCATCTGCCTTTTACAGTTGTTTATCTTTACATTAATTTATCATGCATTAATGCTTGTAGTAAAGCCTGTAATACAATGAGTCAATATCTCCTTGTCTTTTATTTTCAAGATATAATTTTGACTCTACATATTGACTGTGGTGGTAATAAAGAAAATCCTATAATTAAGAATTTATCTTTCTTTCATAACCCGCTCGTGTATAACCGTCTTTTACGCGATTTACTACTAATAGTTTTTGCTCTTACCTCTACACCTTTTACGAGTCATATCCCTAGTAATTTGAAACAAATATGGAGTTGATTTACTTAAGTAGGTACTTCTAAGTGGATGAAAATTATAGCTTAGGTAAGTACATGTAAAATGATTGAACATACAACATAGGTCCTAACTAAGGATATTTCCGTGTCTTCGGATCTCTTCATCAATTTCTGGTTTCAGTGAAATGCTCATGAAACAACTGTAACAGTGAAAGCATGATAATCTTAAGAGCGATTACGCACTAAATTCACGCCCGTATTCACAAACATTACTATGAGGTTGAACAGTGCGAGTGGACGCACAGGGTGACACACGGACCAATCACAGAACTCTATTCAACGCTGTGCGATCGATTTGCTGCTTCACATAAGCAAGCATTGCTTGTGAATACGGGCGTAAATCTGGATTGGATAATTTAATAAGAGTTTTCACAGAGTGCAATTGCTCATACAAATATTATGCCTACTACTGCTACCTCAGACTGATTTACTTAGATTTCAGATTAAATTCAGTGCGAAGTTAGTTAGCTAGACTTTCATCTACACAAAACATCAATTTTTTGTTTTGAATATTATCATGATGTCAAGTCTCGCATTTGATGTCTGTAAGATAATTTTATTTTCAGCTCGAACAATGTTGTATGTTCCAACGTTTACAAAATACCTAACTGTCAAATACATATAATTTTGCTCATTTATATATTTTATATACATTCAACACATACAATCACAAGCCAAAAAGCTTTAAGTTAGCAGTCATTTCAGTCCAAATAAATATATTTTAAATGACAAGCATGATTGAATTTTAATTTCAGTTTTTGTTACATTTATACATACAGGTGTTACATTTTGGTGACAGATTTTCAAAATGTTAACAAATTTGACAAAAATGCTTGTCATTTCTCTCATCAACTCTGATATTCTTCAAACTCTTTAATGTAATTACAACATTTAAATAAAAATTCTATAAGCATAATACTCTGACATCAAACTTATGTATAATACCGTTGTGAAAATTATTGCAATTATATTTTACGTACAATTTATACATCACGCCACGATTATCACACGAAAAAATTGTGATTTCAAATGTATAAAGCTGACACTTATATTGAAAATGTAAATATAACGTAGGTAAATATTTTCATTGATGAACAACAAACGCAAATAAACAAAATTTAGATTTTTGTACATAAGCGTGAACTTTATTTTTCCTTTTACATAATACTTTTTTCATGGTTTCTTTTTGTTTTGTTGCGTTTGATATTCATCAATATGCATAAGCAAAGTGAATTACATTAAATTTTAATATAGTGGTTTCATCACATAAAGCATTCTATCCTTAACATATTAACTGCAACTTTGGGCATAATAATAATTACATCTTTACACTAAAATTTCTAAACATTAAACATACACAACCAAATTCAGACGTCAATAGGGAAAATAAAATAATTTATAACATTTATATTCTAAAATAATTTGACAATAAATTACAATGATATTTTATAAATTGCTTTTCACTTATTTCTAAAGCTGTAATATTTTTAATTATTTATTTAGTCGTACTTTAAAGAATAAAATTATATTTTGTATATTAAGGGTAGGTTAGGTACTTGAGGTATCATTACAGAGGCACAGTAAAAATAATAATATTAAATTTGTAGGGCATGAAAACGTTAAGTACTACTCGTCATTTATAAACTAAAGAATTTTCCACTGAATTAAAATATACAAATGCGTAAAAATGTAATGTAAACAATATTGCTTACTCCTTTTAATAATTTAATAAAGTGTTTGACATGAGATCAATAATCTTAATTGGTTAAAAGTAATAAGATCCAGCGATGATTGGGTGGTTAATATCTGAGCGCACATTATTTAACCAATCTGGTTACTTTCCTCTTAGCTAGATAAATAATAGGCGACCAAATAAAACCCAAAACTTAAACTTCAACCTCTATTTATGGATGTGGAACGACTTTTTCTTAAATTATGTAAGTACTTTAATCTTCGAATATTAATTCTAAACATGTGCGTAGGTTTTAGCGATATCTAACTAGATCTTAACATTTCCAGTCTAAGTGGATAATAAATAATTTATTAATTTTTCGCATTCTCATATACTCTTCGAATTAGAATCCAACAATAATTATTCATTTTTCAATAGCGTACGTACATTTCAAATTAATTAAACAATAAACAGTGATTGTTATTTACAGAAGTTGGAACCTTCCAGAAAAATGGTCCCAGAATACAGCACAAAAATTTGAAATTATAAAAAAAACGAGTTAAAATGTCTCGTTGGGTTAATTTAAGCATTACGATAGTAATTCACAAGCCTTTTTATATTTTTAAATGTAAAACAAAAATCCTCCACACACACAAGCATATCGAGTCGACGTTTTTATATCACAAAATTTTACGCACATTACAAGTCTTATACAAGAATTAAATTCTTATATAAAAATTACATCAATCGACTTCCAAAATGGTTAGGGACGTACGTGAGATATCGATTAGGTAATGATTTCTATTTCTGTTGCGATACACGGTTCGGTTCGACTTGGACAATAATATTAATGAATTTTTAAATAGAATTGGTATGGGACGGAAGAATCGATATCGCCTACAGCGATGGCTAGGATTATTTTAAACGTTTCCATTCCACGCATTCATTATACGAGCTGTTAGATTTCAAACGAATTACTAACCATCTCACGCCGTTCGATTTCTATGGGGCCAATAAAATTTTTAACATACCAAATAAATCTCTTCTCTTTGTTGCCTTGGTCTGCCTTTTAAAAAAGTTTCACAAAGAACAGGCTAAAGCCTTACTTCTAGTTTCACAAATCAATAATTTCCATAATGACCAAGGACAATAAAAATTAATATTGCGCCACAGTGGCGCCGCCCTGGTGGCTAATAAAATCTTCAATACTCTCATTACAATTAATTGTGTTAGGAAACACCCAAAACCAGGAGGCCACACTAATTTAAAAATACATCTATGGAATCTTCTAAGAAAATTAAATTCCTAAATCCCTATAAACTGATTAAAATTATTACTTAGAATTAAAATGATATCGTGATTATTGACATGGGATTATTAGGTACTATAATGTAGTCGATGTACTAATAATTTTATTTTTAATATAATAACTGTCTCCTCATAATTTTCAATGAACTTCTAACTATTGCTTTTCAAAATTAACATTTTTTTTTGTAAACAGCTTTATGATAAGTCGTAATATACAATATATTCATGTATATATTAACAGCACGCGTGCATTTGACACTTTTAGCATACGAGCGTATTAAAATCTTATTCATTTCTTTATTCACTATAGGAGATAAAATTCTTTATTATCTAATATCAACTGGATTTCTTCGCAATAATTTCTGAAATAAAAATCGCGCGGATTTGAGCAATATATCAATTAATAGCGAATTTAATTAACTTAATTAACTTAAGTTTGTGTTTAAATGGGTTTTCCTTTCTTACTTACTAAAAAAAAAACACATTTTAAAAAATAGTAGCTTAAAAATAACTCCCAATGCAAAGGATTAAATTCAAGACTTACTTAACGGCAAATCGTTTGTATCAGATATAATCAGAAATTATTGCCAGAAATTGTTTTCTCAATATTATATTTTATAATTTCACAACGCTTTATAAAAATTCTCTTTCGCCAATTTTCCGTCTTAACGAACTTTTTTGCTAATATTCATGAATTATTCACTTTTCTCGTGTAAGTAGGACTTGCGTTCAACTTCTTTTAATAAAATCACAAGAGAGCACACATTATCTTTCAAAAAGTTATTTTTCCATTGTTCACCTTGATTCGTGATGCACTTTATAACCAAATCCGAATCTTCAGGATCCCTGTCATCTGAAATAGAAAACGATATTGATTAAACAAAGTTTCAATAAACGTTTTTTTAAGTTTAATAAAAAAGTGTACCTGCGGGATATAACAAAAAGAAATGGATTTTGCTTATTTAGATGAGGGTTTTAAATTGACGTTCTAATGCTAATTAATATGCATGTGCATTGTGCATGGTGTTATTTTTTTAAGCGTCCAAAGCATTATTTTGATCCAAAACTTTCATAATGTAGCGTTATATTATTGTGTTTATTTTTAATTATCAAAGGATAAAAATTTAAATATTTTGTGCCCTATTTTTATGTACCCCGTCGAAAATAATATTTAGCGTAAGATTATTTTATTCTCCAAGTCTGGAAGCATTGTTTTTTTTAATGTTCTCTATATTTTTCTTACTGTGTGCAGTAGTCAAAGACGCGTGTTTTGCATTTACGATGTTTTGTTATAAAAGCTGAAGCCTTCAACGTACCTCTGTGTAAATAATGTCGTTTTTCACATTAGGCGTTCACGAATGATGACTTGGTCCTGGTGGGGAGATAACAATATCTATCAATACTGTGTGTTCGTATGTGTATGTGATTGATGTATACAAAATGAAAATAGACCACAGTAAACTATATTCGATCAAATACTTTGATACCTATAAATTAATATACTAAAAGTTCTTGACTTAGAGCAAGATATTGATTTCCCATAATATTTATTTTGAAGGACGCGCGCGATGCTCAGCCCCTGACTAAAGACAATTTTCAATATGTCGAAGATTCTCTATATTCATTGTCAAAACTCATAAGCCTGACAAAGACGAAGCTGTTCTTATGAAGTTTTAAGAGCACATTTAACGCACTTCATTTTGACAGACAGGTGTTTTAAGACGTCTTTATAAAGAAGGCTTAGGTATGTTTAATGTATAAAAACAAACAATATTGGGAGTCTTTCGCACCATTTTAATTTTATTACCAGTTTTCTTTTTTTCTCTCTCCTTATTTTTTATTCGAGCACTGAGTTCAGAATTTACAAGATTTTATATTTACTTAATTATACGAAATTCCAGCAAGGATTATTAATTGACCGAAAAAAATACTAAAATATGAATAAATCAAAAGAAAACTTACCCAGACAGTGATGCCGAGTTGGAGATAGGTGGACTGTTGGACTCGAAGCCTTCTTTCGGCTTCTCATTGGCTAGCTGCATCTTCAGCTGGTGCCCGAAGCAAGCCAGGTCTTCCCTGAACGTGTCAGATCCAGGAGTCGTTGGCTTCTCGTCATCACCAGTAGCCATCGCCTCTGCATCATTCTTAAGAGGAGCTTGCTCAGATTCCTCCTCAGTATTATAGATCTTAAAGTATGCAAAAGTTAAGTATATCACCGAAATAAAGAACGAAGGTATTGGTATAGCCATAGCATACACCAAATTCAAAGTATTCTGCCACATATCCAGTTCAGTGATCACCAGTCCTGGGTCTACTCTGCTATAGTAGCACGTGTAGTTGGTGCCTATTGGTCGGTATTTTCCATAGAATATGGTGCAGTTCAAAATTGGTGGGTAACCACATCCTTTTACGTTGGGGAACAGGCGTGCCCCTGTGAAGTACCACTCTGAATCGTTTCCTTGGAGACCTGTAGGTGGAACGTCAGCCAGGTCTTGTTCCTCAGCCATATCTGGATAGTTTTTGTCAGCAGCAGTCTCGTAGTTCTCGTACTCGTAGTCCTTTCTCAGTGCCCGTTCAACTCTGATCAAATTTTCGTATTCGGTTGCGGTGATGTTGGCAGCGTACCCAAGTTTGTAGTTGACTCGGATTTGAGTGCAGTCGTACAGGTCTTTGGTGCAGCCCTCCCTGCAGGAGGCCCACGAGCAGTTACTCACCCCAAACAAATGCTTCACATTGGCTGTGACGCATAACGCTGCTACTGGATCAAATTGCATGAATATAGTCGTGAACGCCGGCTCGATCACAAACGGTACTAAGAATAGGAAGGCAAACAGGCTGAATATGGCGAGAAGAACGAAGCTTGCTGTGGTGTAGAAGAGAAGTTTCTCAAGAAAAGTTGGGGGGATTTTCTCTTCATCGGCCATGTTGGCGTGGGCACTTTAGTAGTGACCATAGCGCTCGTTTTAGCTGGGCTGCGTCATGTCATCTGAAGTTTCATGACATCTTATGACTCCGTTGTTTAAACCGATGTTTGTTCTTTTGGTGTTGTCACAGTTCGTTATTTACATTTTTTGTATCTGCAAAATTTTAGGGCTGGTGTACTTAGTGTTTGAGTTTTTTGAGGCACTATTTATAAATACCGTGATAAAATATAAATTTCTCAGATCTACATATTTAAAAATAGAAGTGAGAATCAGATACGAAATGGCAAAAATTGGTACCATTGTCAATATTTACGAGATTAATTAAATCATAACAGCGTTAACGACTGGCACTGGCTTTATTAGGTTCATCAAAGGAAGACATTACAATGATAAAACAATAAAATTCTTTACGGTCTATAGCGAAAACGGGGATGAAATACAAAGCCCGAAATACAAAGGCATTTAGCGGTCACTGACATCGCAATGTGAAACTTTTTTGAGATTCTTACTTTGCATACCTACAGTACATATTTCATAATATTTACACGAATTTCGGCCAAAACTATACATACTATACACGTTAAAAAAGTATTATTGAAACCAAATTGACCAAGCGTCAGTGTATTGTTTTCTTTTGAACAAAATAAAAAGGAGCGAGACGCTGTCGCCAGTAATGCGACAGAGGTCGGAATTTCTTTTTCTAATACGCTCTTCGGTATATTGGACAGAGGTCGAAATGGCGATCACTTATGTAACAGACTTGCCAAAAGTATTGTAGTCGACAAACAAACCATGACAAATAGATCTGCAAGAAATGCGCAATGAGCTGAAAAGTTTTGAAAGTCACTCGATGTTTATGATAATTACATTGCAATTTTATTGTAAAGCTTTCAAATGTGGATGACTATAATGACAGTTTGGTGAAAATTGACCAAACGACGGATTATAATTAAGATCTGCAAAACTCGTTGTTCAAAAGGAATAAATAAATCTGATCTGACCAATAAATTCAAGGAAGAAAAACTACGCTGCATGAAATTAAACACTGTGGCTATAATATAAGTAATAGGTAGGTACTATATGTAATAATATAGCAAACAAAATTAAAAATCAAATCTAGGTAAAAATCTGAATAGTGTAAGAAACATCACGTAATATCAAATCACAAGATCATAAACACAGCCACAAAATCGCTCGGCTCTCACGACGCCAGACTGTCTGCCTGGAATCCAGCCTTGTGGTATCGATTCAGGCTAGAATTAGCTTAGAATGCTGAGACATAATAGTGGCTATGCGACATTGAAATAACAATGCAGTTTACCTAGATATCGAGTTTCTAATTATGTAACCGTGAAAGGTACGAGTTTATGAATTTGGCACCGATACAAATAGGTCAAGTTTTAAAATGAGATTTTCAGACCTGAACACCTATTTCATGAAGTATTGTTATTGAATAAAATTATGTTTTTAATGAAATAAACAAATTAGTTATCTTTGTTTTTATAAACTTTGTGAAATTGTTTTTACAAAAATGTTCTTTTTAATGGCCTGAACATACAATTGTTGTTTTTATTCAATGTTTTTTCCCATTTGACTGCTTCAATGTAAGTAGATTTATCATTTGAGAAGTCATGCATTCTTTTTTTTTCTTGCCTTTTCTGATCAGTTTTTGGCAACAACAACCACATTAATTTTGAATGATCGCAAAAATCTAGTAGTTGCCATAAACCGAGGGCATTTTAAATTGAATACTGTTTATTCATACAACGGGCTTGTGCCGGCAAATGTAGAATGCATGAAATGGAGCACACTGGCGAACAACGCCTTTTATGCCTTGGGTATAAGGGTCAAAATAGAAAGCATGGCGACTGACACAAAACAATGTGGGGGAATACAGCTGTGGACGCATTTGTTTGCAATGCTGAATAGAAAATTGAATAACATGGATGTTTTTTCTATCAATGAAAATGGACTCTACCTGCTTTAAAATAAAGGTTTAAGAAATGCTATATTAAGTATAAATGGTATATGTAGCTATATTTTAATGTGAAAAAGTTTGTGTACAAAGATTTTTTATGAAACTTTATAATGTGAAACCTTGTACGCAAAATTTGAGGCAACTTTTAATCAAAATTTAACCTAAATGAAAACAGCTACGAGTAAAAACACACACTAAAATTAGTTTATCGGACTAATTCCGGTGGCATTTCAATTAAACTAACTCCACATTTTTGTTACCAATCAATTATTTTTTCCCTTGACCTATTTGTACAAGCGATAATAACTTTATTGATGGTACTTTATGAAAAAGTTCAATTTATACATTTCAATTTAATCTTTCATTTGTCGCTGTTAGCTTGACTTATTATTTTTAACTTTTCATTTTCAGTAGGTACAATTTTATGAAATTGTGTATAAATAAATAGAAATAATAATGTAAAGTTAAATAGTAATACTAAGTTATTTGAATAGTCGACATGTTATAAAAATCAATGAAAAATTACGGCATATTTATTTTGAGTAGACAAGTAAGTAGATACTTATCTACCTACCCACTCTTGATAAATTGTGTATAATTTAATACTTATAATGGATGCACTTTAGCGTAATATCTCAAGGGACACAATAATAAACATTTTACACGGAACATAAACATACTTGTAAGTACCTACTATACGAAGGATATATTTTTTATGGTGCAGGTACTCAAAGCTGAATTGTCACTATAAAAAGACATGTTTAATGGCCAAGTTTCTTCTAGAAATGTAAATAAAAATTAAATATTTCAGCAAGTTTTATAAAACAATGTTTATGAATACCAAAACCATAGTGCATAATTGTATATAATTTTATTTTACAATATTACAAACTTTTTTGTGTAAAAATGAAAAGTAGAGTCACAGAAAAAATATTGATAAATTTGTATTTTTTAAAGAAATAATAACAAAATAAATTAATAAAATACGTAACAACACAAACCGTTAACTTTAGGGACTTATTTTTAAAGGTTAACTTTATATGAAAGAAGATTAAACTTGATAGATGAATTATTATGAATGTTTATATTTTCGGGAGATGAATAATTTAATTCTCAGTTATTAAATCAGTTTTAACTTGGACCTTTTAAGGGTGCGTGACAAAGTTTTTCTCTGCAACGCCATCTATTATCATTATGATACAACATTATGAAATCGGTGTGCTTTCCACTTACATATTTTCAGAAAAGTGTAGATGGATATTTAACTAGCTTTGCATTTAGGGATTAAAATCATAAAAAAGTAGTTTACTAACTTGAGTCACATAGTAACCTAATAAAATGTTACTTATGAACAAAACCAAAGTATTTTACTATAATTAATCTTAAACAAAGTTATTTATTTACAATGCGATGTGCAAAAGTAAATGAGTTTGAAATAAAATCAATATCCAGCCTTATTTCTATTTAAATAGATCGCAATTCCCTTTGATCGACTTGACGTAAGCTTCAACTAAGCTTTTATTTAATCAAAGTGCTATAATCGATTCGCTTATAAAATTAAAATGATCTTGCTTGAAATAACTGGATAGTTATTCAATTAACGATAATAAGTTAAGCTATTGTTTACTAATCTTGATAAAAACAAACAATCCCTGCCATGGTTCAAACATCAAACCTTCAGTTATTTCTACTTATTATTGAAATTTCAATCTACCAACATTTCAAAATTGATTAAAATTAGACGTTAAAGCTTTCCAACGAAATTTCTTTCAGCAAAGCTCTGAGAAGCTTAGCCCAAAGCTCTACGGGTCAATATTCCCGTTTTCATGCTTTTACATTAACTTACTATTACATAACCTAACCCCGCAGAAAGAAACTTTTGACGTCATTGTTTAAAGTTATTAGCACAAAATCTCATATCAGATATACATAACATTCACGTTAATATTATATAAACATGCCACTTCTAAGGTTTAACCCTAACCTTCCACGAAAAAACCACACACACGTAAAATAATACGCGAAAAACACAAAAGCATTTTGGGGTTATATAATTTAGTATCGCATATCCAATCGATATTAACCCGTAAATATTGACAACGCAAATGCCGTTTTTCTAGCTACAGCTATCAATTTAATCAAAGGCAAAATAGTGGCAGTTAATACCACTAAGTGGCGAGTAAAGAACGGTTACAAATGTGTAGACCAAAATAGAAGGCTAAGGTACACCAGCTCTAAATTGAAGCACCACTGTTACCTTCGCGGAGGTTGTATTGCACATGCAGTGATACACTTTACTATTCACAACTGGACCATTATGTCGCAAATTCAAACGTCTTTGGTTTCTTTTTCGACGGCGAACGGGGACGCGTCGTGACTGCGCGGCTACTCTCTCACTACTGGGCGCAGGGTGCCTCGTATTGGCTGTATTGGCACTTCAAAAACCTGAATGTATTTGCTTGGAACCTCTTTTCGAAAACTATAGAGTTCAAAAATAGAGTTTAAAAAACAAAAATCATTCTGTTCCCATTTTGAAACTTCAAAAACTGAAAATGGAATCGTTTTTCAAATTTAAAGCTGCAATTAAAAAGAAAAATTCATTTTTTTGAATTGAGAATGATTTAAAAATAAACAAAGAAGGGTTAGAAAGAGCATTTGAATTTGGAATTGGAATTTGCAATTGAACAAAATTGGCAAACATTCGTTTATTTGAGTGCGCGCGTCGCCCGCTCCGGTCGATACAGCCCATGTCATGCGAGAGTCTTTGTACGGCGACAGACAGTCTTACTTGTTTTACAATTCTGGGGTTTCACAGCCAGCTTTTATTGGGATTATTTTCGCTTGCGCTTTTTAAACGATGCGCGTAGAATATTCATGGGATATTGTGTTTTGGTGCACGCGAAAAGGGGCGTTAACGTAATGGCGGATGACGTTTCGTTGGCGAGTGCCCGTTACGTAGTTTGGGGTAGGTTGGCTTAGGTGAGGCTGTCAAATTGATTAGCGCTGTTAAAGTAGTTAAGTACTGCTGCGACTATTAATAGCCTCGGGAAAGAGGCCTATCAATAAGGTACAAAAAAACTTTCGTATTGTAGAAAAAAATACATTTGCAATAAAAGTTCTTAGCATTGATGTGGTTTTAGTTGTAGGTACTAAATAAGTACAGTATATTTTAAACTTTTAGTAGGCGCGCACACCGTTGATTTTTAGTTGGCCGATAGTTGTGCCCGATTTTAAATTGTATGAAGAATCGGCCAAATCGAATCGGCGTAGTGTGCGGACTCCCATACATGCCCATGTTGCCCATACTGATCAACTGCCCGACTAAACTATCGGCCGACGAAAAATCAACAGTGTGCGCCTACTCTAAAAGCCTATAAAAATGTAGATAAGGAAGTTGTCTACAGCGTTGCCAGACGTCCCGATTTTGGCGGGACGTCCCGATTTTTTAATCAAATTTAAATGTCCCGCGCGGGACAGGCTCTGTCCCGCTTTTCGGAGAGAGACACTCACTTCACCAGACTGCTGTTTGAAACGCCATATTATTCTAAAGAATACTTTTTTTATTTCGATTTTTGTTTTTTTTTTCTTTTTTTATTCTAAAGACGAATTTAACGATAGAGTAAATCTGATTTAAAATATTATTTTTTTGTTAAAATGCATTTTCTATGGCTACTTTTGCTATCTATTGTCACGTAAACGTAATTTTAAGTCAAATAAAAGGATAAATATTTGAAAACCTTTGATTATATGTATACGTTTTTTACTATGTCCCGCTTCTGACGGAAGAATCCCGCTTTTTTTACTCAAAAAGTACCAAAGTCCCGACTTGGCGAAAAAAAAAACTGGCAACGCTGGTTGTCTACTTCTGGAAAAAGAAATACTGAAATAATAATAAAGAAAATTGCACTTAAAAAAAATTCTGAAATTCTCTTTTATAGTCTGCTAAATGCAGAAAAAATTAAACTATGTAAATTGTTATTTAGAAAGCTACAGTTTAGTTGACAAGGTAAATAAAGCAGTCGTTAAAATACAAAATCTAATTCCAAAAACCAGGGGCATTTATTTTCAATCAAAATATGAAAATATCGGCTTAATAACTAGGATGCCGCTCTACAATTTCAACTAGCACTGTCTCTGTCACGAATCCGAACTAAAATTTTAATAAAAGCTTGCAATTTGCGCCAGCTGCACTGTCGAAAGAAACTTAAAAACAGGAAAGTTATGCGCAGGAATATTAACTTTGTCAAGTTGAATTTATTCTGTTTTCTCGAAGAGAAAAATTATCTGCTTTCTCGTTTATATTTAACTAGCGGCCTCCCGCGACTTCGTACGCGTGGGTCCCGTTTTACCCCTTTAGGGGTGGAGTTTCGTAAAATCCTTTCTTAGCGGATGACTACGTCATAACATCTGCCTGCATGCCAAACAGCCCGATCCGTCTAGTGGTTTGGGCTGTGCGTTGATAGATCACTATGTCAGTCAGTCAGTCAGCTTTGAGATAAAATATTTACTCTACAGTTAACTACAAGCATAGTGCTTAGTTGAGTTGGATCCTTCATAGTGGTGCGGGTTTTTGTTACGTCAAACGTCAGCGGGAATTCAGGCTGTGCTTTTGATATGTTTACATACTGAAATAAGCTGTCATGTCACCCCATTCGTATCGTGCCGCTTCACTACCGCACAATCCTACAAAGCACTATGCTATGTGTGTTACACCCGTATTCACAAACGACGCTTACTTAAGTAAAGAAGCAAATCGAACGCAAAGCGTTGAATAGAGCTCTGTGATTGGTTCATGTGTGACCCTGTGCGTCCACGCGCACTGTGAGACCTCATAGTAATGTTTTGAATAGTAGTCTTAAGAACAGCTTAAGAGCTGGTGTACCTTAGTTTTGAGGATTGAGGCATCTGTGTAAGTAGTTAATTACAATAGGAATGTTTCCTGGGTCAAAAAGCAAGAGTTTTACTTAGTCCGTCAGTTAACTTATCAAAAAATACCCTACACGTATTTTTCACTTTTTCAAACTAATGAAAATTTAAAGAGATAAAGCGCGCCAAAGTTCATAAGAAGAGGCCCGTGACGTCAATGCTTGCATAAAAGTGCCACACGTTGTGACGTCGTGCGGAACTTCAACGAACCATAACTATGTAATTATTTGTTAGATTGACAAATAAAAATATATGTGTCCAATATTTTTTGATATTAGACATGACGGACTAAAAAAATTTTTTTAGGAAACTAGCCTATACTGGTATTTCCAAAACCTATACCTAGAGCTCCATTTAAACTACACCTACAATATAGCTTATTTGACTACCTATAGTGCAATTACTATCGTACTTAAATATTGCTGTTGATACTTTGTAAATAACTATATTGGCAAGGTATTCCCAAGAGTAATGAGTAAATGCCACGTGACTGGGGTCTGAAACAAGGCTATTGCAAATCGCAATATCATAATTACAATAAAATTACCTGACGAATATGAAAATTGTTAATCAATTGAAAAGTTCAACTTGGAATTTGTAAATGCTTGAAGACAGGAGAGTCTTTTGCTATGCTCCGAAGCACTACATATCGAATGAGTGGCAAGTGAATTTCTCAGAATCCTCTTTTTCATTCCCATAAAACTTTGCTGTCAGCCAAAATGATATCGTGTCGTTCTTTCATCGTCGAATGCAGTTTGGGTGTGATTATACCATGTATTGAATGTAGAGTTCACTTGTTACTTATTTTATTAAATTTGTTCCAAATATTTTTACTTTTACCTTAAATATCGTAGGAGGCAACTAAGATACCAACAAATAATGCGAAAATCAACCCTCCCCATCTCGTGTTAGGTAACAGCAGCATGGGGATGGCTAGAACAAATCATCAATTAGCCTAGGTCTGTCAAAAATGGTCAAGATTATGCATTGGAGACTAAATGAATCAATGATGATGAATATAATTGTAGACCACCACTAAAAATCATCATTTCAGTCAATGATTTCCAGATTGCCCCATTATTAGTGGCCTGCATCCAACGCCTTCCTGCTATCTCTATGAGGTCGTCTGTCCACCTTACAACTAAATAGGTCTATCAAATCACCTGCGACAGCGCACTCGGCCAGTCAAATGCACGCAATTACCCTGACTGCATGCAGTAATGTGAATACCCGGTAATTAAGGCGCTGACCCAGTTAAGCTCCTAGATTTTATGAACCATATTGAAAATTTAATATTTCAAAATCACGGAACGAAAAAAATATAAGTAACTATCCAGTTCTAGTCAAGTGTTTATTTCTGCTTTCAAAATATTTACAACTCGAAAGATATAGGTAACTATATCTATCAATGCACAGCCCAAACCAATGGAAGGGTCGGGCTGAAATTTGGCATGCAGGTAGGTGTTATGACGTAAGCATTCGCTAAGAAAGGATTTTACGAAACTCCACCCCTAAGGGGGTAAAACGGGATCCACGCGTACGAAGTTGCCGGCGGCCGCTAGTTAAGTAATAATATTATAGTCACTCGTTTTTCTAGAGAGCGTCTCCCAGGACTTGCGAAAATTGTAATTGTGAATTTTTATAACCTAAATGATAAAAGATTTGTTAGACATGAAAAGTTTCTTCTTATATTTAAATAGAGCAAATTCAAAACATAAAGCCCAGGGCAAAAAAGGTGTAAAAACTAAACCTCTTTGAGTTCTCAGTAATCAGGTAGACTAGAGAATTGCAGGATTGAAATTATCCTACTCTTGTGCTTGGAAAAGGCAAGATATTTTGAATTAAAGAGATCCAAAAAGTTCATTTTTTTAAATTATTACCGTCACCCTTTAAAATAGTCACTTTTCGTATCATCCCGTTCATTCCTACAATGTACGGGATAGTATCTAATTAATTCTGTACTGACATCAAGCAAAGGTTACCGAGCTTCGTATAGCCTTACAGTATCGTCCTAGATACACTCGACACGTGTAGCTAACTTTGTTTCAGGTGGTTTAACGTCCACTTTCATAGTTGCAAGAGCTTCCCGTGCCATACAGGGTGGTAAATAACGGACACGTTAGTTTAATAGCTGGTGTAAGTTAATGTGTTTTCGTGAGTAAGAGAAACCTTTTGTTATAAAATAATTAATGCTTATTTTTCCAGATGAGACAATCTGTATAAACGTGAAAGGGCCACGGATGGATGGATGATTGTTTGTGACTTTTTCCCGCAAAAAATACTGGGTGGATTTTGGTAAAACCTTGCTACACTTAAGCTTAAATGAAATGTGCCAAATCATATCCATCGGATGTGATTTTATATGCAGCGCGTCTGAACTACTGCGATTGCCAAGACACAATCACCTCTACTGAAAGTCATCCCAACGGCTATCAGTTCTACGGCAGATATGACCA